CCTGGGGTTGGTGAGCCTTTGATCAAATGTGGCTTGTCACAGCTATTTGTATGGCCTAGAACTAAAAAGTGATATGTGCCTTGTTCTGCATTATGTTGGTCTCTAAGAGACCACTAAGCATAAGTGACAAAAAACAGACCATAAGCTGAAACTCCAGAGTCTCAACCATCTCAACTATGCCAATCCAAGAGAGAGGGCAGCAGTATCTGCAAAGGACAGAACAGTAGCAAATGGGTATTACATTTCTTACACAACCTTAGAAAAAATGAGTCATGCCACGGAAACTAACTTGAGTCAGTAACTGTGCAGTGATAAATATTTTTAAAGCACATGTGACTCTTTAACTCATTCATACTAATGAAGAATATTTTCACTAGCTTAACTTCCTAAAGTACAAGTCCGATTCTACTGTCTGAAATTTCCCACTGATTCCCAAAGTGTTTTTTTTTTTTTTTTTTTTTTTTTTTTTTTTTTTCCGTGGTTTTTCTCCAGTACCAGGAACCGAACTCACGACCTTGTGCTTGCCAGGCAGGCGCTTTGCCGCTGAGCTAAATCCCCAGCCCCTGATTCCCAAAGTGGATCCTAGACCTATGGAAATAGAGATTATACATAAATAACAGGTAAGTAAACCTGATTTAAATTGTTAAGAAATTCCCCCTCTTTCAAAGTACTAGAGAATAGTGGTTTCCTATTGTTTTTATTAAGTGTTGATTCTACCTCAAATAAAAGGAAGAAACACAGCCTCCCATTGCTTCTCCCACCGCATGGACCTGGCAGATTACTGAGCTTCTGAAAGTTCATTTTCCACTTTGGCAAAATGAAGAAATTGGACAAAATGCCTCCCAACTCTGAAGGAGCGTCAGCTCTGCATTGCCGGAGTCTTCTCTCCCAGGTTCCACCCCACCTGACCCGGGCTCTATTTCCACGGGGCTTGATGGGCCAAGGTAAACAGCCAAAGGAGATAAAACACAAATCGTAAAGCTGCCAATTCAGAGTCACAAGCAAAAAATAACCTAGTTACTCTGCCTTTACATAATGCTATATTATGGTTTCAAACCACGTTTGGACATTAATCCTCACAAGTCATAAGCACAAGTGATAAAAGAAGATGCAGAGGCACAGGAAATTGACTGGAACACTTGACAGAACACACTGAAAGCAGGGAAAAATGACATTTTAAAATACTGAATGACTGAGCTGGACATGGTGGCTCACGCCTGTAATCCCAGTATTTGGGAGGCTGAGCAGGAAGATTGCTGTGAGTTCAAGACCAGCCTGGGCTACAATGTGAGCTCAAGGCCAGCCTGAACTGCATAGTGAGACCCTGTCTCAAAAAAATAAAATAAAATAGTGAGTGATTACATTTTATGAGTCACGTGCATTGTGCATGGTTATAGCATATAACACACAGGTGGGAAAGGGACAGCAAGATCTGGCTTGGACCCTCCTTCTGGGACCTTGGGGTGAGACTCCCTCAGGACCTCACAGCAGCCCAACAGACAGGCTGTGCACTCCTGGCCCTGCCTCCCCTGCCTTACTCAAGTGTCAACCAGATCAGAGGAGACACAATTGAGCCTGGACCAAACCTTCATTTGGGTTGAGGAAATAATTTGTGATACCTCAGAGTAAAACTATTCTTCTTACAGAACCAAGTGTGGTGGCTCACACCTGTAATCCCAGCACTCAAGAGGCTGAGGCAGGAGGATCACCGTGAGTTTGAGGCCAGCCTGAGCTGCAAAGTGAGTTTGAGGCCAAGCCTGAGCTGTATAGTGAAACCCTGTTTCCAAAAGACAAAAAAAAAAAAAAAAAAAACTATTCCTCTTAAATAATAAATAACTAAGAATGATATTACTGAAAATTAATGATTTAAGTTTCTCAAAGAAAAGACTGTAGAATGGAATCATACTTTATTCAGCAAAGATACTGAGTGCCTCATATGTCCTGGGGATACAAAAATGAAAAAGACATAACATTTAACTCAATAAGTGTACACACAGCCTACAAAAAGGGATGCATGCAAACAGCTAAATGGTAACGGCATAGTTTGATAATCACAGGAAAGGTGTGACTTAGGTGGAAAAATATGAAAAAGAAGGTGCTGCTCTGTTGCAGCATTTTTTTTTTATTTTAAAGATAAAAGGAGGGAAACATTAACAGACATACAACATTTTACAACATATCACAAGCACAATACAGACAATACAGAGTTACAAACA